AAATCCCGGAAATGATCCTACAGACCTTCCACCTTGCCTTAGGCTTGTTATTACATCCAGCTCTCGGGATCCAACTCTGGTCCTCACGCTGGTGCAGTAAACACTTCATCCACTGTGTCCTCTCCCAGCCCCCTCTTTTTTTTTTTTTTTTTTTTTTTGGTTTTACGAGACAGGGTTTCTCTGTATTGTTTTGGAGGCTGTTGGTCCAGCCCAGCCTCAAACTCACAGAGATCCGCCTGCCTCTGCCTCCCGAGTGCTGGGATTAAAGGCGTGCGCCACCGCCGCCCGGCACCCCCTCTTCTTTTTAAGGATGAATAACTCTACTGTATGTATGTAATACTTCTTCATCAGCACCTCTCTGAGATAACATTTGGGGAATGGTGATAAACAACGCTATGCAAATTTGTTTGACTGCGTTTGGGGGTGCATGGCCAGACACACAACATCTATCTAATATGCTAATTCTAGTTTTTAATTGTGACTGCATTGGTTCATATCCCCACAGCAATGAATGAGTCTTCCCATTTCTCCACACCCTCCATGTGACACCTTCTCATTGTTCTTTATTTTTCCTTTTTTTTCTTTTTTCTTTTTCAGTTTATGGTGACAACCACCCTAACCAGGCTGATATCTCACTGTGGTTTTGAACTTCAAAGATTTCACTCACTGCCCCAAATAATAGCCAAGTTTGGCAGCACAGGCCATAACCCCACCCCTCCAGAAGTTAAGGCAGGAAATGCAAGAGTTCAAGGTTAGCCTGGGTAAGATCCTGTTTCAAAAATGAAAGAGAGAGACAGAGAGGGAGAGAAAGGGGGAGAGGACAGAAGGAAGTGATGGAGATCAGGACTGAGGAAGGAAGGAAGGAAGGAAGGAAGGAAGGAAGGAAGGAAGGAAGGAAGGAAGGAAGGAAGGGAGGGAAGGAGGGAGGGAGGGAGGGAGGGAGGAAGAAGGGAGGGAACGAAGGAAAGAAGGAAGGAAGGCAGGAAGGAGGGAAGGAAGGAAGGAAGAAGGAAGGAAGGAAGGAAGGAAGGAAGGAAGGAAGGAAGGAAGGAAGGAAGGAAGGAAGGAAGACACATCAGGGTTTTGTCTTTCTCCCCTTCCTCAGTAGTTGCCATCATCCCCAAATTGGTATAATTCCCACTTCTGTATAGAAATATTTGTTCATGGGCTAGAGAGATGGCTTGGCCATTAAAAGCACTGGTTGCTGCTGTTCCAGAAATCCTGGCTTCTATTCCCAGCACCCACATGGCAGCTCACAACTGTCTGTAACTCCAGTCCCAGGGATCTGACGAAACATCACACACATTAAAGAAATAATTTTAAAGGGAGACTTCCATGTATTAAACTGCTATTTTATGGGTCACATTAGAGTCCACTTGCATGGCCCTCCCTACTCCTACCCTCACCCTCCCCCAGCTCCACAGATGGGAGGCGGGGCAAAAAGAAGTCGCATGGAACAGGACCCTGGCTTTGGAGTCAAACAGAGAGTTAAACTGTTGTTGTACCCCTTCCTAGTCAGGTGACCTTGGTCAGGTCACGACTTCTCAGAGTTTCTGTGTCCTCACTTAGAAACTGAACTGTCTGGGAGATCAGACTAAATAAATAGAATGCCTTGCACTGCGCGTACAATAAGAGCTCAGTAACTTGGAAACAAAGGAAGAAGGAGAGGGGTTGTCGTCCCTGTACTGGCTGGGCTAACACAGCTTACACATGCTCTCTCAAGCCATTTAACTTCCTCTCTACCTGACTCTGACACAAGATGATGTGCTCAAGTTTGAGATCAGCTGCCCTGCTTGCCTGTTACCGAAATGCGCATATGTCATAGGGAACGACTGTCCCCTCTTTCCTCAGCATGGGAAGGAAAGTGGACAGGGAGTGAAGCCTTGAGCCACTCTGCCAAGTCACCCTTCTTGGGGAAGGACATTCAGCTCAGGCTAGAGCCTGGCCACAGAAACTGTAACCCAATACCTTAATCTATTTCTTCTTCAAAGCACTGCCCTTTGTGCCAGGTGGACAGGGCCCGAGTGACAGGGAGCTGCCCTGAGAAGCTCTTGCATCGGGCTGCGTCATTCAGGCTGAGAAAAGAATATGCAAAGAGGACACCTTTGACCTGGTTATCTGGACAATTGTGACCGGCAACTGACAGCTTAGAGTACCTGAGGGATGTTTAAAGAATAGTACCCGGCCGGTGTTGACAGTGACCCCAGCCATTGATCCAGCCACCCCAGAGTGCGCCGACCGTGCCAGATGGTGCACAAGGCTCTTTGGCCATACAAAGAGGAATCGGACACCAAAGAGAGCGGTCTTGGAGATTAGTATTGCCTGTCCTTTTGGAAGTAGCTTCTGAGGCCACCTCCCCAAGAAGGCAGGAGAGGCTAGGGACAGGGAAACGGACATGAACACGAAGGAAAACAGCCCCCAGAGAGTTCCAGGTCTTGAGGTCTCAAGGGTGGGGGAGGGGACAGGACCAGCTCCTTTCTTGAGGGCATGGGATGAACTTACCTTCTCTCATCACAGCAGCCACTGTTTCTGCAGAATGAGCTAGGATTAGTCAACCACTCCCTACTCTGACCCCAAGCTGAAGTCTCCTGGGAAAGAGCCAACCATCCCTGATCCTGCCTTGCTTGCCCTGACTCTGCCACCAAAGTCAGCTGGCCTCAAATAACTGCTAATTCGTGAGGACTCAGGCTATCAGGGGTTGTGCAGCTGTCATCTCAGCCCAGCATGGGCAAGACACTGGTGTGTGTTAGCTAAATGGTTAAACATCTATTTGAGTCAAATTGATACTTTCCTAGGTACCACGAGGAATCTGGCTTATGAGAGAGTAACCTGTGTCTGGATCGGCTACATTCACTAAGAAATCAGCATGATTTTCATCTTTCCTTCTTCCCAGGATCCACTCTGGTCACCAAAACCAAATAAACAAGTTCAGAGACTCATTCATTTACCAGACGGCTACTGAGTGCCAAACCCATGCTAGGTACCGGGCATAGGGGCAGGACTCTGTTCTTCTAAGGAGCGTGTTCTTCAGAAGTCAAGACTGCAGTGTGTGGTCAGGTAACAGATGAGCAGCAGGAAGGAGCCCAGTGGCGTACAACAGGAGAGGAGTGGGTGATTTACTCTGCCCAGATTGGATCAAGGAGGGAAGAGACAATGTTTAAGCGAGACCCAGAGGTTGCAGACGGTTTTGCCAAAGGGAGACAGTGAAGAGACAGAATGTATAACAGTGAGGAAGAGCAGACTGTGTGCACAGACCTCCCAGGAGGGCTGCCGGGCTCCCCAGAACTCAAGAAGGGTGGTACAAAGAGGTGAGGGCGAGGGAAAGACAGGCTACGGCCACATAGGAAAGTCCCAGGACACCACAGCTTTATCTCCAGAGTAAACAAGGAACGCTCTAGACATTTTTGAACTATCATAAGCCATTCACTTTCTATAAATTGATTTATTTTAGCCCATTTCTCCTGGAGAAACATTAAAATCTCTCAAGACATGGGAGGATGCACTTGGACAGGCCAGGATTATCTTGAGTCTTACTTCTCATTGTGAACTGAGGGTTACTTTGGAGAGAGCCCTGGGCCTCACGTCATACCTTATACCTGTGAGATGAAGGACAGCAAACAGGAGGCCTCAGAGATCTCACCCGACGCAAGCCAGCAATGATGGCCCTGAAGGCCCTCAAAGGGGACAAGTGCCCCACAACTTGCTTTGCTGTCAAAATATTTAGAAGAAGCATATTTAAATCACGGTTGGAACAATGGGACTAGCTCAGAAGTAAACGTTCACACTGCCGAAAAAGGCCAAACCATAAACATTTAGTCTAAGCTGTAGCTGCCTCTCTTTGGGGCCAGGAGGACTCGAAGGAAAGGCAGAGTTCTATAAAATGCGATACGCCCGGATTTTCTTACACCCGTGGCATGGTAATTAAGACACCACTTATTAGACTTTTAAAGGCTCATCCTTGGGAGGGGTGAGGGAGGCTCTTGGCATTTTTCTCAATGTGTTTTGCTGAGCAAATACAGTAAATGATGTCTGAAACAAGGAGGGAAAGAAGAGTGGAGGCCCTCCCTCTTGCATCATCCCGTGGTCCAGCCCTCCCTGTTTCCCCCCAGCACTGCAAGGGCTCTTCTCTTAGTTTTGGGGGTTATCTGTGTGGGTTTAATCAAGCAGTACTTAACTAGTTAGCTTGGTCAAGTCTTCGTGGAAGGAAAGAATTTGTAGTGCTCCTGATTGATCTTGCAGGGAGAGGACAAAAAAAGGCCTGCATCATACACTTCAATTCTTTCAGAGATGTATGAAGAAAAGTACATACTAATTATAAACTTCCTCTGAATATTAAAAAAACTCTATCTTCTTCTAAAATTCCTGTGACTAGAGTTAAATCTTTCCGTGGAAAATCCCACTGAAATGAGCATATGACCACTAACCATGATAGGCAAGGAGTAAACAGTGATTTGCTTGTAAGTGCTGGTAAATGAGTTAATAAATGTTCGTGTGGTTTGGATTTTTCTTTTTCTCTATTAGAATTATAACTACTGAGCTATGTGAGTGCATAGATGTGTAGTGAAAGTGTGGGCACGCGCTTGCAACAGTGCAACTGCAGGAGACTCGTGACACTTTCCCAGCCCGCTCTCTCCTTCCACACTGGGATCCGGGACTCAGTTCAGGTCACTGGGCTCATGCAGCAAGTGTCTCTACACACTGAGCCATCTCGACGCTTCCGTTTGTGATTCGCCGGTGATGTCAGAGAACCAACTGGAAGACCTTTACCTGAATGGGCTAGGGAGAAGGCAGGAAACCATTACAGAAACTTAGGCATCCTCTGTAATAACTTAATAGCTCTTCTCCATTTTCAACAGGTATATTTCATGAATTCAAATAAAGAAGCAGAATACCTTTTTTTCTCACTGCAAATATCTTTAATGAAGTTCGGTTAAAACAGGAAGGAGACAAAATGTTAATAAAAGGGTATGGGTCTTAGAGACAAGATTTCTTAAGCACGATGCGGATCCAAAGCCTTATTTTATTGTACTTGAATTCCAGGACAGGAGGTGAGGACATTGTCTGGGGAGATGGCATGAGCCTTCTGGTGTACTTAACCAGTTGTCATGTTTTACTATCCACGAGGAAACCTCTGGGCCTGCAGGTAGTGATGACCCCTGAAGCCAATGTTACCCCAAATCAGAAAGCAGATGCATGGAAAAGCCCCAGAGCTCCCACAAAGGTCACATCTCTGAGCTAAAAGCCCCTATTCCCATCCCATTTGCCCCCCCCCATGATCCCAGAATCTTAACTATGTCTTTAAGAAGCCTTCTTACCTCTTGGTTCCTCAGCATCTCCACCTATAAAACAGCTCTGGTAAGATTTCCGGAAGTCCCTGTCTGCAAGGTAGGTGGCAAAATGCAATCTTTACTAACATTGGATCTAGTTTCCAAGATCTGAAGCAGAAAGAATAAATTGTGCTCCTCTGACAGCCCTGTGCCTCAGACCATTCGCTTAGGTCACTTATTTCCAGTTCCCAACCTTCGTCTTAAACTCATTCCAGACTAAAGAGCTGTGACCAAGCATGAGATTGGTTCAGGCTGCCTTTACATTTTGTTTTGCTTTGTTTCTCAACCCAATGGTGGGTTTTGACGTGGGTATCATTTTATGTTGAAAGCAATCTCGTTGCTCTGTAGACGTCTGAGGCAGGAGATTAAAGTGTCGTGAAACAGCGCCTGTCACATATTCGCACACACGCACACACGTACACACCCCCTACACTCGGGGGCTCGTCAAATGTGCATGTCCCTCACGTTTCCACCGTGCTTGAGCAATGAACCATTTAACCAAACCGGAAACAAAGCCTGCTGGCTGGCTTCAGAAATCTTTTCAACACCATCTCCAGCTGTATTAATGCTCCATAGTTACTTTGGGGGAAGTTATTTCTTCTGAATTCACTGATGTAAATCTTGTGTTGATTTTCTTCTGGAGTACAAACATCGATTGCTCTCCCCTGGTTTTTAGAGGAGACTTTACATACAGAAAACGTAAAGTTAAAAAGTGAGGCTCATTCTTTCCTTGCCCCCACAAGCTAATCCTATTCTTTAGAAATAGTCATCGCAAATGACTTCTCACTATAGTTTTAGGAATTGCCCAGAAGTTCTTCCTCATTCACAAAATGATCCCTCCCTACATAGACAGTTAAAGCAGGGACTCTGCGTATGATGACCTAGACCTCCATCTTTTTTTTTTTTTTTTTTTTTTTTGGTTTTTACGAGACAGGGTTTCTCTGTATTGTTTTGGAGGCTGTCGGTCCAGCCTGGCCTCGAACTCACAGAGATCCACCTGCCTCTGCCTCCCGAGTGCTGGGATTCAAGGCATGCACCACCAATGCCTGGCTTAGACCTCTACCTTGATGTAACTTGGAGTCAACCTTTGATTTTGACACCCTGGAGTATTTTGTCTTTGATGTGTGGTGTGAGCAGTATGGTGCATGTGTGTGTATGTGTGTGTGGTGTGGTGTGTGGTGTTGTATTATATGCAGTATGTTATATATGTGTGTATGTGTGGTGTGTGCAATATGCTGTGTGATATGTGTGTGTGGTATATATGTGGGGTGTGTGGTGTATGCAGTATGGTGTGTATGTGTGTGTGGTATGTGTAGTATTACTGTGTGTGTGTGTGTGGTATAGTGTGCACATTATGGTATGTATGTGTGGCGTGTGTGACATATGTGTGACGTGTGTGTGTGTGTGTGTGTGTGTGTGTGTGTGTGTGTGTGTGTCCCCATGCCTGTGCAGACCAAGTTGATACCAAGTGTCTTTCTTGATGGCTTTTCACCAGTTTTTGAGACAAGTCTCTCACTAAACTCGGTACTTGCTGATTCAATACTTACCAGATTCAATACTTACTAGTAAGCTCCAGGGATCTGCCAGTGCCCATTCTACCAAACCCCAGTGCTGGAATATCATGTATAGCACTATACATGACTTTTCAAGGAGGCTCCTACTCCAGGCCTCCACTTTGGTGCACCAAGAGCTTTACTGACTGAACCATCTCCCTAGCCTCCTGTTGGTCTGGAGAACCCAAAGCCACTCTGCTGTAAGGCTTTCGAGATTTGCTTGTTTTGCTTGTTTGCTGTTTTGTTTTTTAATGTATTCAGGATCTGGTTGTCTTCCAACATCTAGTCCTCAAATGTCAACTCACCTGCAGCTTTCTGGTCACGTTCCACATCTTCTTCCTTGGCCCCAAATGCCGCCAAGCCAGGAAGCAGGCGCCACTCCTTTGGTTTGTGACCTTTAGTGACCTTTCAGCTCTTTCATCTTGAACACTGAGTCTTTTGGGGAGCCCTTCCCAATATACATCATCATGGCGCTGACACATGAACTAATGTCTACTCTTCCATTTTCTACTACGGTCTCTGAACTCCCCAGAGGGGATTCGGTCTTATTCTTCATTAAGCGATGCATCTCCTAGTAGGTCACCTGCCAAGTGAACAGAAGGGTGAGTGACAGTGACAGAGTTCCTTCTCAAAGTTGACATGGGATTTGGATGGTCAAGTGTCCAAATGAGAGGGAAACTCAGAGAGATAAAACTGCGGGGTTGGGTGGATTTGGTAGCTGGAACCCATGAATCCCTATACCCACCTGAAATGGGGTCAGTTTCCAGCTTATGTCTCACTCCATTGAGCTCCTGTCTCCTTGTTATCTTGAGCTTTGAGAGGATAAGGAAGACTAGACATTATCACAATAAACATCCATCCAAGCCAACACGAGGAAAGTACTGGGGTGGTTAGTGGGGGTCGGTGAGCCCAGGTTGAGGTAGCTATCTGTGTGTCTGTTGCAAGATGTGTGGGACCTCCTGGGGAAACTCATGCCAGGAGCTGTTTTCAGAAGCCTGAAGAGCCTTGTGGGGAGAAGGGCAGAAAGACAACGGTGTGCTTTCGTGTGTGTGTGTGTGTGTGTGTGTGTGTGTGTGTGTGTGTGTGTGTGTGTGTGTGGTCTGTGTGTGTGTGTAAGGAGCTTTTCCTACATAGTGTGTACATACACATGGTGTGGGTGTTCTCTCTAGCATGTTTGCACTTTTTATTGTCATAGGCTTTGGGACAGCCTATCACCCTCCAGTAAAAGTGTGTCTCTGGGAGTATGTGCCTGTGGAAACCTGCAAGGGTCGTCAGTGGGGAGTGGAAAGTAAGTCCTAAAGCATTTGGAGTTTAAATCCATATTACTTTGATAACAGTTGTCTTTCATATACTACTTGCTAACAATAGGACTGTAACATCACATCCATTTTCCTTTTGAAATCCTAGGTCACATATGTTAAAAAAAAAATCTAGAGCTCAGATCTCAGAGCCAGATGCTGCTTGTTTTTAAAAGTACGTGACAGGGGTTGCCGGGTTTCCTTTCCCTGGAAAAACTTTTGAGTTTCTCCTGACTTCAGACATCAGGAAACCCAAGGCCAAGCTTGCCCACCCAGGAGAGCCAGCCCAAAGCTCAGAGGCAGCAAAGGGGAGAGATATGCCTGTCGGCATCACCCCCACCCACCCACCCCCAGGCCCCCCACATCAGGGCAGGCTAAACATGCAGAGGCTCCTGTCTCCAGGGTGGAGAGAGGCGCCCTCGTTAAAACTCAGATAAACAGTTTATCAGGAGATGAATGAACCACCGGGCTCCAGAGACGTCTCCCCTTCACCAGCGTGGAGCCAGATGAGGAGGGGGGCCACTGACTGAGGGAGCCAAGGGGCTGTCGGACTGGAGCAAGCCAGTCAATGCTCCTCTCCTCCTTTGGTCTCAAACATTTTCTCTATTTTGGGAAGTGTATGTCAAATGTATTTGCCTGCTTTCTCAGCCCAGCCCACATTTTAAAGCCATCGCTCTCCTTCTCTCGCTCCTCTCTCTCTCTCTCTCCTGCTTTCTCCTGCACTCCTCTAACTAGATTCCCATCTGCAGTTGGACACACATGGTTATAATGTACTGAGAAGTTAAACTGCATCCCTTAGCCTTCACTGGGAGTGTGGGAGCGTTGATGTAGATGTAGCCAAGACTGCCCCAGCTCCCAGAAGACCACAGGAACACACTGCTCCATCTGCTTTGGCAGAGGGAGGTGGGTTATGATATCTGTACCTTCATCTCCTGTCAATCAAGAAAAGACGATGACAAGCGTCTTAGCCCTCTAAATCCCTCTCTCTGTAACAACCTGTCAGATATTACACTCAGAGGGGCAGAATCCAAAGGTGATGACTGACATATGCCCGGGATGGTGCTAGACATAAAAGGTGGTCGTTCTCATGCCTTCTGCTTCATGGTGTCTCGTGGTCCTCTCCTTTTTGGATGTCACAGATTACCACAGAGAAGTAAAGTGATTCACCAAAGATCACACAGCAGGTTTTCAGACATCAGGTCCTAGTACCTTGGGCATCTTCCCCGGCTGCCTCGGGTCTTCCCTTTCAGGACCAAATGGAAGTAAGAAAATAGGCTCCACTTTCTGTGACACACACCTGCCCAAGCAAGGATTTGAAAGCATCCTTCAGTTCTTTGTCAGGAACATTTTGCAGGACATACACCTGCCATGGGGCCTGTCAAGGCAGACCCACATTGCAGCTGTTGATTGGGCGTCCTATAAAAAGCTAGTGCGGCCCACAGCCCCCGCCAGTGCTAAGGTCCAAACCCAATGACAGCCTGGGCAGGAACTCAGCTGATAGCCACTCCCCCCTGGGTACACATCCCACCCCACAGCTTCCTTTCAGGGAAATACCTCCCCCTTTCTATGAGCTGGTCAAGTTCCATCTTCAAGATGCGCCACAGAATCAAGTAAATGGATTTAGTTCTATTGCCTTTACCTCTGAAGGTTGGCAGCCATGAGGGGACAGTTCCAGTCAAACACACTCAGAGTGTGGGTGTTAGAACTGACTTCCAGCAGCCTTCCTAGGTACTTCAGCTCTCTCTTGTTCCAACTAGAGGTGACTCTCCCAATGGACATTCATTAAAATACCACTCAGTACTGTAGTCAGCCCAAACGCCATGTTTATGGAGAGATCCTTTGCCTGCTCCAGACGGTACCATTCTGACAGATGTGCAGCGCCCTCGCTTCACAGATGAGAAGGAAGCTCGCTGGTGTAACAGTCGCGCTGCTGATGAGTGGCAGGGCCAGGATCCCCCCGTCACTGCACTCACTGCAGAAGTTTGCTTTGTGTTGAGCTTGCATGGATAGATGTAGTAGCGAGTGCCTCCACTACTCATCTGCTGTGGTTCCTTTCTCTTTCAGACTCATATCCTTCATTGAAGTATCCTCTTCTCCCACATCAAATGGATACGTCACTATCCTTCATCGGCTCTACCATTAAGATATACAAGTCTGTAAGAGCAATGACCCGGAGCTATGAGGTACCTAAGTATATGGCTGCCCCCCCAGTGTAGTGCGGAGCGGGGTTGCAGCCTCCTCAAGTGTGGCCTTTCCCAACTCCGCAAGTGTGATTTGAGAAGCCAATAGCTCATACGATAATTGCTCTGATACTTTTTAAGTCCATGATAATGCATTATGAAACTCCAGACAACTCTTAAAAAGGATCAGGAATTGTTACATTTATCAAAAGAAAGCACAGGTTAAAGAAACGGGTGTGTAACACTAGTTGACAATTTTACAGTGATCTATGGATCTTTCCGATGTCTTCAAGTACTTTCTTCCCATGCTTGTCATCTCTCCCCTCTGGGGACTGCAGAAGTCTTGGCTACAGGGTGGAATCACTTCTGAGTTACCTCACATCTGTCTCTCCTTCTGATTCATATTCATGTGGTGGGCTCTCCATTAATAAGTCATCCAACCCATCAGCAAGCATGTTTGGGTTCCCACTTCTTTCTTCTTTGCTATTCAGTCAAATCTATTCAGTCCTAATAAAGGACAAAAGGCTCTGGGTTGGTTTTGTTTGTTTTTTTTTGTTGTTGTTGTTGTTTTTTAGCAAAACCATGTGATTTGTGGCTAGAGAGATGGCTAAGTGGTTAAGAGCATTGTCTGTTCTTCCAGAGGAACTGAGTTCGGTTCTCGGCACCTGCCTGCTGGCACACAGCTGTCTGTACTTCAAATTCCAGGGGACCCAGTGCCCCTTTCTGGCCTCTGTGGGCACACATGGTATATAAACATGCATGCAAAACTCTCATACACACAAACTAAAATAATAATAAACTTAAAAACACAAGAGATTTGACATTAAACACAACACACACACACACAATTTAAAGGAGAAAATAGCACAGTAAGTGGCCACTAATTGGAACTTACCCTGTCTCAGGTAGGCTGATCTGGAGTTTATCGTCTCAAGTCTTTACTGAAAAATTAATTTCTAAGTTAATTCACGGCAGTTATGAAATTGCTATGAAATATTTAATCTTCATCAGACAACAAACTAATGCTAAACCACCATAGAACATATCAAAAAGTTACATACTATTTACAAACTAAACCATTCTTTTTAATTTTTAAAAACTAGATGTATTCATTTTATGTGTGAGTTTTTCCCCTGTGTATATGTCTGTGTATCGCATGCATGATGGGTGCCCACAGAGATCAGAAAAGGGTGTCAGATCCCTTGGAACTGGAGTTAGGGGTGTTTGTGAGCCACTGTGTGGATGTTAGAAATAGAACTTGGGTCCTTTGCAAAATCCAGTCAATGTTCTTAGCCACCGAGCCATCTCTCCAACCCTAAGAACTAGACCAATTTTTAAAAGCCAATGATTGTTCATCAGTTTTGTTTGTTCTAGAGACAGGTTGTCCCAGAACTCACTGTGTAGCCCAGGCTGACCTCAAACTCATGGTCCTCTTTCCTCAGCCCCCCAAGTGCTGGGATCGCACTGGTCCCAAGAGGGCATTTTTGTTTCCAATGGTTATCAAAACAAGACCTCATTGCAGATAGAACTAATTCTGCCAGTCTAGACTTCGCAACTGAGGCAAGTGTTTGCACCTGAAACTGGCCATCCCTCTCTACTGCTGACCTCTTGCAGAAAGGTCATAGGACAGAGTGCTTTCCTCCTCGGAGGATTGAAAGGAAAACTGGGGGTGTTTGAGGTGTGATGTTGAGACTTCTTACTCCCACTCCCGGTGAACCCCAGAGCCATTCACTCCCAGTCTCTCTCCTCCACTTCCTTCCAGACTCCAATCACATCACCATGAAGGAAGTGAGCTGAGTCTTGATCCAGTTCCTTATTCAAAGGAAAATCTGGGATAGGTGTCATGTCAGCTCCCATTTCTCATCAGAGGGACAATACAACATGTTCCTTTTATGGTAGAGGGGAGGTGAATTTGGATTAGTGACCTAACTTGGTACCTTAGAACTACAAGATGGTAGAGCTCAAAACATAAATGAACAAACAAATAAATAAATAAGCTATTAGGTCACTAATCCAAACCCTAAAGTTTACAGTCCACACAAGTGACTCCAAGGTCAACACAGATGTACCAGGGTAGACAATATCCTGAACTCGGCTCCTTTACTTCTAGTACACCCTTGCTTTTCTAGTCACTCCTCTTTGCCCAGTGAGGCCATTTAACCCAGTCAGATGATGCAAACCTTCATTCTTGTGAAATCTGAGCACCTTGGAGAAAAATCTCAGTACGTTTGTTTACACTAAAGGCCTGGAGATCTTTGAGAAAACATCCAGAAGCATAAAGTATCGGCCCATACATACAAAAATGGCACAGACGCAGATTTTCAAACTGAGGTAGGCAGAGTGGGCAGCCTACAAACCCACCCAGTCTGCATACCACCCCCCAAGCCAGCACCAAGTGCAGAGATCACAAAGATACAGCAGAGGGCGCGCGTCCCCCAGGGAGGTGAGAGCTAGTTGTAGGAGCAGTGAGGGTTAGGGGAGCAGCACGCTAGGAGAATGCAACCCTATCTCTCTGCCACTCACCGTGCGGGACCGGGCCAAGGAGAAGGAGAGTGAGAAGACCACCTCCCACCCCCTACGTGGGCCTGAGGGCAGATGAGCAGAAATGCTG